CTTTGTCAACACCTTTGTCAACACCTTTGTTCTGGGCTTCCACCATACTGCAAAGCATTGATTGCTCCAGTATCTTATGCAAATAAGGGTGTATGAATAGCAAATGTTCTGGAATTTATTTTTCGGGAGGAAAGCTGAGAAAACGAACAGAGGCTGCTGGGGAACAGATATCAGATATGATTATCAAACTTATTAATGGAGTTTGCGGGACTCAAAGAACTCCAACTCAAGTCTCGTATGTTGTCTAAGATCAATCTTAAACTTTGTTACAACAAATTTCACAAGTACTTGATCATTAATTTGCCAACTACATGTACTAAGGCAGTTCACCTACAATTTGAATGTTATCCTTTAGTTTGGCTAATCATCTCTGAAAAAGGATTTTTAAATAAATTTATGAGGTTTTACAGGACTGAAAGGGTTGCAAAATTATGAGCTTTATAAGACTTGCTGTAACAGTATGCTGTCTAATATCAATCAACAAATTTGATAATTCTAAGTTTCAAATCAAATGGATATTAGAACTTAGGCACTACCGGTATTCTAGAATGTGTCACCAAGGAAGTCAAGACAAGTCTGGTTTTGGTTTTAAATTGTATTATACAAGTTTGGCTTTGGGTTTAAGTTATCCGATAATCATTTGACAATGACATTACACAGAGTGACTATGAAAGTCTGGTATTATTTTGTTATAATTTCTCTAATAGTTATTTGAAAATTATTGAAGTTTTAGATTGCTATGCTGGGCTCTCTCTGGAATTTGCTAGGTAATAGTAAATTTACTAATCAAGAAAAAAAAGTATTAGTAAACTTTGTCTGGAAACTGCGGAGCATTTTCCCGCGACCGAGCACAACGGGGAAGAGAGAAGGAGAGGGAGGTGTCCCCTCTGTCGTCCGCCGAAAACAAGAACAGCATGCTGAAAATGGTGCTTGCTGGTGCAACCTGAGCTCTAATTTTGTGTGTAATTTCATGACATCAAATTAGGCAGTCTGCTCCACAAAATGTACCATTTATGATGGTACAACAAAACATCACAACAAAATATAAAATGTAGACACCAGAACCTTTATTTGAATAACTCAGTATT